TATTCGACTGGGGACGGCTCTATACCATATGATGTTACTGCTGGTGATTTTAATAATGATGGACAACTTGACATCGTCGTTGCTAACTATTGGGACAATAATATAGGTATATTTCTGGGATATGGGAATGGTACTTTTTCCAGTCAACAGACCTATTCAACTGGAGATCTATCTAACCCCCTATCTCTTGCTATTGGCGATTTTAATAATGACAGTCAATTAGATATAGCTGTCGCCAATTATGGAAGTGCCAATATGGGCGTATTTCTTGGGTATGGCAATGCTACTTTTGCAGATCAAATCTCCTATTTCGTTCCAGTTGGCACTAGTCCATCTGATATTGCTATCGGTGATGTGAATAATGATAACCACCAAGATATAATAGTTACTGTCGATTTCAGTAACACTATTCTTATTTTCCTTGGATCCGGTAATGGAATATTTGTCAAAGGAAATTCATATTCTACTGGTAGTGGTTCTCAACCAGTATCAATTGCTGTTGGTGACGTAAACAATGACAATCAACTAGACATCATCGTATCTAATTGTGACACTAACAATGTCGTAGTATTTATTGGGGAAGGTGATGGAACGTATCTTAATCAAAGAAGTTATTCAACTGGTGACAATTCTTGTTCAACTTGGGTCATTCTTAGTGATATCAATAATGATAACATTCTTGATATTGTCGTCGCCGATAATGGCACGAATATGATAGGTGTTTTTCTCGGATATTCTTATATAACTGGTATACTTGAAGATACATATTTAACCGGATCTTCTCCACATCCACATGGTTTAGCTCTTGGTGATTTCAATCGTGATGGTCAATTAGATATCGCCATAGCAAATTATGGTTTAAATAATGTAGGAGTACTTTTAGGACATACAAATGGAACATTTCCATTACAAACAGTATTTTCCACTGGTGACTTATCTTTTCCAACTTCAGTTGCCGTTGATGATCTAAATAATGATAATGAATTAGATATTATTGTAGCTAATTCTGCAACTGAAAATGTCGGCATTCTTTTTGGATATGGAAATGGTAGTTTCACAAATTTAAATATGTATTCAACTGGAGTTGGTTCAATTCCTGAAGCAGTAATTACTGGTGACTTCAACAATGATAAGAAACTTGATATTGCTGTTATTGATTCTGGCATTGATAGAGTATTAACACTTATCAAATACGATACTGGAAGTTTTCAAAAGCAAATAACATTTTCCACGGGCACAGAGTCTGCTCCGCGAGCACTAGCTGTTGCTGATTTAAACAACGATGGATGGTTAGATTTCGTGTCAGGCAATTCAGATAATGTGGGTGTTTTTCTGGGACTAGACAACGGTACCTTTTCCAATCAAACGACATATTCGACTGGGATTAAACCGTTGACAAGTGCAGTTACTATTGTTGATTTGAATAATGATAGTTATTTGGATATAGTTGTCGCCAATGTATATACTGACAATATAGGTATTTTTCTTGGATTTGGTAATGGTATATTCACAAATCAGACGACTTTTTATACTGGTAATATGTCCGGTCCAACTGGAGTCATCGTTGCAGATTTTAACAACGATAGTCGATTAGATATTGCCGTCGCTCTTCAATTCACTGGTGAAATGGGTGTTTTTTTAGGATACGGGAATGGTACTTTTTCTCCTATAGTCATCTATTCAATTGACAGTAGAGCTTCTCCAGTATCAGTCGCTACTGGTGATTTTAACAACGACAATCGATTAGATATTGTCATGACCAATGCTGGTCTTGGCAATATAAGTATTTTTTATGGAGATGGTGATGGTAATTTTTCCAATCTGACTAATTATACGACTGGCAGTAAGTCACAACCGGCATGGGTCGTCGTCAGTGATTTGAATAGCGATGCTATATTAGATATCGCAGTTGCCAATTTCGGTACAGACAATATTGGTGTGTTTTTTGGAAATATTAATCATAGTTTTTATGATCAAATCGCTTTTTCAACTGGTATTGGCTCTAGTCCAAATGCGTTGGTCGTTGAGGATTTTAATAATGATAACCAACTGGATATCGCCTTTGTCAATTATGGTACCAATTATTTAGGTGTGCTTCTTGGATGTACTAATGGTACTTTTTTTGATCCATTGACTTATTCAACTGGTGAGAATTCTCAGCCATGGAATCTCGCTGTTGGTGATTTTAATAAGGACAAACGTCTCGATATTGTCGTCGCCAATTCTAATACGGATAATATAGGTATGTTTTTTGGATATGTTAATGAAGGTTTTCTAAATGCACCAGCTTATTCGACTGGATCGTCTTCTCAAGTGACTTCCATAGCTGTTGGAGATTTTAACAATGATACTCGATTAGATGTTGTCATCACTAATAATGCTACAAACAATGTTAAAGTTATATTTGGATCAGGCTATGGTACTTTTCTCTATGATGTAACATATTCAACTGGTAATGATTCTCAACCATGTTCCGTTAGTGTTGCTGATTTAAATAATGACAATCAATTAGATTTTGTCGTTGCAAATTCTGGTATTAATACCATTAGTATTTTTCTTAGTAATGGTACTGGAACATTCTCAAATCAAATAACTTATTCTACTGGTGTTAGTTCTCAACCATATTCAGTTGTTATTCTTGATTTTAATAACGATACTCAATTAGATATTGCTGTTGCTAGTTATGGGACTAGTTATATCGGTGTGTATTTCGGTTATGGTAATGGAAGTTTCATGAATCAACAGATATTCTCTAGTGGTTTTAATTCACATCCATTTGCATTGGCTGTTGGTGATATCGACAATAACAATTTAACTGATATTATTGCAACTAATGATGGATATGGTAATATAGATGTTCTTACGAAAACTTGCTAATATGACATTTCTTATTTAAACTTTCATTTATTTCTTTTTTTTCTGCACTGTATTTCTATAATAAATATCTTAAAGCTAAATTTATTAAACTCTTTTGTTTACTTAGAATTGTTTGATATGACCAAAGAGATTGAACATTTAAGAATGGTAGAGATGTTTTACAAGATTTAGATCCACACGAATATTATATTTGAAAACTAAACGAAATCAATTGATTAGTTTTTAATGAAATGCTTTCATTTGTATAATATTCTATATGTATTCAATGAATATTCTATTTATTTCAAAATAATTATTTCAAATAGAAAATAATAATAATCAATAAATGTAAGATATATCTTTGATAATTTGAGAAGTATTATAATAAAACGTATATTATCATATTTTGTATAGATTAACAATTTTTTATTCAACATAACTAGATGACCGAATCAGAAAACACAAATAAAAATAAAATATGCACACCTGTTAGTTGAAAATTATTTGTATAGATATTTCTTTCCAAGATCTTTTTCAATCTTAACTTCAAAATAAGAGAACTTTTTATTCGTAGTATAACGATAATGAATTATGTAACTATATTACAGAAATATAATTATTGATAATGAAAAGAAAAATAATCATTCTAACATAATAATCATCTGAAGCGTCTTTTATAATTCATATAAAATCAAATATTTATACTTTATAAAAAAGATTCTGTTTAAAACAATTTTACAAATGATTAGAACGAGAAACTAGATGGCATTTTAGTTTCATTCAATTATGAAATGCGATGTGAACGTAACACTACGATAGAAATGATAATATTTGGATTATGAAAAAATATATATATGAACAGTGAAAATATATGTTTGAGAATATATAGTCCGTACTTGCATTTTGAAAATTTTATTAAAGATGTGAGTGATAATAATAGTTGTTCTTAATGAATATAAAATTGTAGTTATCTTTGAGGATTTTGTAATAAGATAAGTATACCATAATGTTTACTCTTCACTGGTCTTTCTTTGCAGATACTTCAGAATATTATATAAATGTATTAATTATAATTTGCTTGAACAATATAATTGTTTTGATCAGCCAATAAATAATAATCTATACTTCGTCTAACTGATATTGATAACAGACTATGACTATCTTGGATATAGTATTACGAAATTATGATTCATTCCATGAGAATATATGACTTCTTTTTTTCAAAAAACTATTGATGCATTTAGTTCCGGCGATTGCGATTAAGATGCGACACAGTTGCGTGTAACTACGATAAAAAAATCACACTCAAGTGAAATCCACCACCAATAATAAGTATTTTTGAAGATGAAATCAGGTTAATAGTTGATAGACAAGTTTCATCACCTGTATTGACAATGGATTTCGAATGAATATAACTAGTATTATGTGAAAGAGTTTCAGTGCGAGATGATGATACAAACTGTAAATAAAGTATCGATTCGTGATTATAAAAAATGAATAGAGATCATCGTCATTTCTTACTTTCGTTTGTAATAATCTTTCTTTTTGTATTTCATTTTTATAGACATCACTAATACATATAAAAATTCAGAAACATATCAAAAGTATAATTTTAAATTTACCGAAGCTTATTATTTAGCCATTGTTTAATAATAATTTAATAATTCGAAAATAATCTCTGTATTTGATATATGATTATACGATAACCATTGTAAAGTTCGATCTAATATATAAAATTCTTGTCTTTTTTCATTAGTTACATCTGAAAGAATTTTATTTAACATTTCATAATTAATATCAATAAATTCTTTTATTTGAATACATTCATCTATGAATTGTATAAGAAGTCGATATGCTAAATGATAAACTTATATAAGATCATGTTTAGAAGCTATCTCTAATATTCGAAATACAGTTCGTTTATTAATTTGACAAAGATAAGTTGTATATATATTATCTTACTTAAATTTATAACTATTTGCTACTAGTGCAAATCGATGAGCTAAATATTCACTACTTTGTATAGGTCTTCACATTTGTTCAAGAAATTCTTCATTTGAATCGAAAATACTAAATAAAATTCGAATAAAAAATAAAATAAGCGAAAAAATCTATTTTAATAAAAGATAAGAATTTATAGATTTTTATTTATATACATTTAATAAATCTCTTAAAGCATTATCATTCATACAACTTTCAATAAATTTGTATCTTAAAATACGTCCTCCTTCTTTATCTGTATCAAATCTTGTTATAAGACTATCAACTTTTCTTAATAATACATTATAATTATCTTTGTAATTTATTCCTTTAATATTATATAATGCTTCCATCATTTTAACTAATTTTAAACGATCTATATAACCGTCTTGATTCGAATCTAATAATGAAAAAATTAATGATAGTTTTTCAATTAAATCACCTCGTCGAATAATATTAACAGCATGCATAAATTCCATAAAATCAATAGAACCATCACCATTAAGATCGTATGTCCGAAAAAATGTTTCAGTTAAACGAATAACATCTCCATTCGGATGTAATTGAGTGAAATAATCAATAAAAAGTTGTTTATTAAGATGAGCAGTAAGAAATGATGATGTTTTACTACCAGCACCACATTTTTCGATAAAAGCATGATACCAATCATTTATTTCAGAACGACTAAATCGAGTTTTAAGTAATTGTTCAATTTGTTCATCATTTAATTGTTGTTGAGAGATATGATTAGATATTTGATTTTTTTTCCTACTATTTATTGATGATAGAGAACAACCCATCATATCTTACTGGATTATCAAAAAGCGCCAAGGCAATTACTATTTAAATTAAGTTACACCAGTTTAGAAGTTAGTTATTTCTTACTGTATAGAAATTTTTACTCGGCATACACTGTAAAAAAACACAGTAGAATAATAAATCCTCATTTTCATTTACGCATACATTAGAGAATTCATTAACGTCATAAATCCTCTGAGAATGAAATTTTCATTACATGACTTTCTGTAAAAAATATGGTAATAAACTCTTTTTTTAGAGAGGTTATAGCATTAATAAATCCTTAGAGGGTATGTCACTACTTGTATACCTTAAATGCAATCTATACAATATCCAACTGTAAGTGTCTATTATTGAAGTTTTTTATATTAGCTAAATTATATTTTTGTTGTATTGTCTCTCTTTGTCATGAAATCGAGTGTTAATTAATGAAAAGAGATTGTCACTAATTTGAAAAAATATCTATTCGGCTCCTCTGATTATATTCATCTATATGAATATACTGCGTAAAAAGTTAGTACAACATTCGATAATTATCTAAATATTATATGAAATAAATATTCACATCTGGAAAAAAAAGTAATGTGAGAAGAATCAATTAACAATACAATATAGTCCCTATTCGACTGTCATATACTACATAACTCATTTGTTGAAATACATGACACCAATCGACAGGTGAGAGACCTTATGAAAAGAGAAATGACTCATGAGCACTCTCTTCTCCCGAAGCAATTACAATTGAATCATAAAATATATTAGAAATATTGTATTCAACCACAGTCTTCATAATCAATTTTATAAAAACTTTTTCGACATACAGTAGAAAATGGAAGCACAAACAATTAGTGTAGAATATTTTATTTTAAAATTACAATATCCAGGTAAATATTTTGTCTTAAATTATGCTAATAAATATACAATATACATAGACTTAATCTTTAAAATGGTTAGCAAATAGTAGAGCTTGTTTCATTCATGCAAAATCCTTAATTAATATGTATTTAAAGTAATGCATTCGATATAACTATTGATAAGTATTGAAAAGAAAAGAAAAAATTTTTTTTGTCAGTTCTTCATCGTATGAATAGTAAACATGAAATACATATTTACCTTTTTTTTCGCTTCTCATCATGGTTTATATGCCCGAAAGAGAAAAGAGTAAAGAGCAAAGCTATCGGTCGGACGATCATATATCGATGCATATAAATACTCATGATCTCAAATTACTACCATAGAAACAGAAGTGTATAATAGCACTACGAATAGCAGCGACACCCGAAAAATTCAATTTTTTTTGTTCCTTCAGCAGTGACAGTGATGGCTTAGCCGTTTGACTCACATCGTGACTTATAAAACATTACACATTTCATTGTACTAGATTACTTTTTTTCTACTGTTGGTAGTATATTTAGACCATAGGAAAAAGAAAGAAGAAATGACTATTAAGTATAATTAGCTTTTAGTGTCATTTTGTTTAAAAGTAAAAGATACATTAAGCATAGTAAGAGAGGAAATGCCTGCTTTTTTTTGTTGTTCTTTAGTTTCTAAAAAAGAAAAATAAATTAGATAATATAAAATAAAAAGGAACGTATGTAGTCTGTTTTTCTATTCTTTATGTTTCTTTCTCTGAGAAAAATCTGTCATAATATAAGTTTTTTATGTAGGTAAGTCATGAATAGTAATATGAAAAAAGCCGCTGCATATTTATAGAAGGAATAGAAAAAAAAAGTGTCGTAATATAGAAAATACAAGAAAAAAAACGAGAGAAAGCTTTTCTCGGTCTTTTATATTAACGTTCGTATTTTTGTTGTGTATGATGTAAGTGATCAAACAAAAATTCAAAAGTAAGTACGTGATGTTTGTATCGAAAGTTCAATCGGACAGTGAATAAATGATTGATGAATTGGAAGACATGGAATATAGTAAAGAGAGAGAAAGAAAGATTGAACAATATGAATACTTGTAGAATTAAGAGAGAAGAAAAAACACTCAAGACATTCATTTACTTCACATAAACAGAGCAAATAGATTTTTTAAAAAGCTTTATTTCGTAATCTTGTATATCAAATATTTAATTTTTTGATTTAGATATAAGAACGTGAACGAGAGTATGGCCAATGCAGTTTACAGTCAATCGCCGTTTATTGAGAAACAATTGTATATTTTTTCTTTTGATATTCTTCGTTCTTGAATTTGTTTATATAACATTTTTCAAAGAATATGATACACATTCACCAGATATTAAATTTCCATCATTAGACATTTTATCAAAAGAAAAAGATAATAAAATACTCTCAAATAAATCAATTTTTGGATATTTACAACCATTTTCTTATTCTGTTTCATGTGAGAATTTATTTGAAAGTGATTCAGATGAATTAAAACATGCACTTGCTTTATTATCTGATCTACGTAATTCATCATTAATATCTGATCAATATTATAATATAACAAAAGAGCAATGTAATATATATCGTTCTCAACGTTTTAATGAAAAATTTCATCATGAAGATACAACAAAAAATCGACAATTTTCATTAGCATTTTCTATACTTATGTATGAAAATGTCGAACAATTCGAACGTCTTTTACGTATTATATATCGTCCACAAAATTTCTATTGTATCCATGTTGATAGAGATGCATCACCAGCTATTTTACAAGGTGTTAAATCTATCGTTCAATGTTTTGATAATGTTATATTAGCAAGTAAACAAGAGAAAGTTTTATATGCAACTTTTTCACGTTTACAAGCTGATCTTAATTGTATGCATGATTTAATTCAATATCCATCATGGAAATATTTATTAAATGTTGCTAATACAGAATTACCATTAAAATCAAATAGTGAATTAGTTAAGATTTTATCGATTTATCATGGATATAACGATATTGAAGGACGATGGAAATCAAAAAATCCACATCGAACAGAATATGTTTGGCAAGTTATTGATACAGTCGGAGGAAGTGATCAACATGGATCTCATCTAAGAAAAACAAATGAAAAAAAGAAACCACCACCAGGTAATATGGAAATTATTAAAGGATCAGCTTATGGTATGTTTATTTTGATTGAAAAATTATTATGAATAGAAAATCTTTTTTTTTTGAAGGTGCTTTTTCACGAGCTTTTATTGAATTTGTTCATACAAGTCCTATAGCAAAAGAATTATTAGATTGGTCACGTGATACATATAGTCCTGATGAACATTATTGGGCAACATTAAATTATAATACACATTTACATACTCCGGGCGGTTATAAAGGTAAGAAAAATTGAGTAAACAAGAAATAAAATGTCAATAGAAAAACATCGGAGAATTTTAAAAGGAATCTATTTGTTTTAAGAATATGTAATTTGAGAAAATATCTTGAACAAATATTCTTTATAGTTGATTTTTTGATTAATCAAAATTGACACCCGACATGATTAGAGTTAAACAAAACATTGTTTTATTTTGATATAAATATATCCTTCTGAATTATTTTTAGCAAAAAGTGATCCAGCTAATTGGACAGCTCGTTTTGTCAATTGGGGTGAAAGTAATTGTTATGGACGTATAATACGTGGTATATGTGTATTTGGTACTGTAGATTTACCAACTTTATTTAATCGTCGTGAATTATTTGCAAATAAATTTCATTTAAATGCTGATCCAATTGCTTATCAATGTTTAGAAGAACTTATAATAAATAAATCCAAACTTGATTTACCATTAAATGATGCGACATTTTATCGTCGAATGCCTTTTTTGTTACCTTCGTAATTTATTTTGTTATAACCGGTTATTTTTATTAAATATATTCCGACATACATATTGAAATTTTTTGAATTTATTTTTGCTAATAATGAATATTTGTTAGAAAAAAAACTGAAAATGCTATATATAGTAGATTTAGTTTAATAAGTTATATCATCTGTGAACCACTAGTCTTAGAAATCATATATACACGTTTATGAAATAAATAAGAAGATGATCAAACATGCTTCTTTTATCTTTCATTTATTAGAAAAGGAAAATTACTTCCTGTTTTTTTAATGACTATCGAAGTCGGATGAAGATGGATTAGCGTGCGAGTGGTTCATAGTTGGATAAAATACGTTCAATCTTAGTTTCTCACATCATTTACATTAAATAATTCTTTTTCAACTTCTCACAAATATATGTATTTATCAAATGACTAATATAAATAAATCTCTGTGAATCATTTCGAACGATACGTTTCACATGTTAATGTAGGTGGTCATATTCTAGACTAATTATCAAATTATGGTTTATTAAACTCATTGGCAGTTATTCAAGTAAAAAATATAAGACATTGCGTTTAGTTTTCTGAAATATTTTCATAAAATATTCATACTTTGATTGTCATTTCAAATTATATTTGGATGAGCTAAATTACCTTCGAGTATAAAACGTTATCTTTGATGTTATCTACGTATATGAAGAAGAGTATCTGTTTGTCTGTTATGACTGTTTGTTAGTTTGTGCTTTATGTAGTCGGTTCCTGTAATAGCTATCGTCATTAAATTTTTCACGGAATTTCTGAAGGTCCTGAGGAAGGTCGACATCGGATAAACGTCGTCATGTGGTGGAGGAGAGCCGTTGAATAAAATTTCACTTATTTCGTCCTTTCAATAGCACTCCTGTAGACTCAGAACAAGATCGACATAGGGTTGGCATCTATTCAAAAATTTCGGAAAATTACCTACGATTTTTAGAGCATTTATCTACTATGATATTTTCGCGTTAGGTATGAATGTGGTGCATAAAAGTGGACACGAATAAAAAGAAAGATATCCATACCCTTAGGATCTATAAAATAATCATGCACTATCTCCTAAACATGAAAGAAACCGATCGATTTGGTTTCAAGTCTGATTTGAGTTATATGGAAGTGATGTATATAAGAATATTAAATAGTTATTTCTAACAAAGACAGAATTGGTTTTTTCTTTATTCATTTTAAAAAAACAATTTCATCAGATACAATCGTTCATAGAGTCTATTCAAATTCACAGAACCATTATGAGTCTATAGCATGTAATACTTGAGAATAGAATTCACTTGTATATTCATCCAATTGTATTTCAATGTTCAGCAGAACTTCTTTTGAATGATTGTCAAATTTAATGAACTATTAAATACGTGAATTAATTTGATCATCAAATTCTATTTTCTTGATTTTTTACAATCATTTCATTTAATACGGAATCAACCTGTTGGTATGTTTGTTCGATTGATTGTGATACATCAATAATTTTCACTGGACACAAATGAAAATTTTGTATAAATTTATCATAATGATGTTTTAACTGTTCAAGACGCTTTAAATCAATAGATAATTCTGATTGTCTTGATCGTTTAATGATTCGTTCTAAACATTTCTTCGGTGATAAATCAAAATAGAATATAACTGTTGACGATAAATCCATTGTTTTTTCTAGACCATATTGAAAATGATCTTGAAGAATTCTATATTCAGCATCATTTAAATATTTTTGTTTCCGATCATAATCAATAAATACATGAAAACAACTAAGAATTGAACGTTCATATATTTGAATATGATGATTATGAATTGCATTTGTATGAGTTTTAATACGTGACAAAAGTGCTGTCATTTCAAATGTAAATGTCCATCGATTACTTTCTGTATATAAAGCTTTGAGAAGATCAAAACCTTTTATATCCATCCAATTCTCAATTGGTTCACGATGAACTTGAACAAGATTTGATGAATAATTCGATGCAATATGTGACATAATTGTTGATTTACCAACACCTATATTACCTACGAAATAAAATGAAATAATGATATACTAATTTACTACATTAAATCTATTTTTAGAAATTTGAACTTTGTTTATCAAGATAGAATATGATTTACCTTCAATCAATATTGTTTTAATTAAATTCAACGGACGCATCTGCAATAATGAATATGTCATTTTTATTTTTGTATAAATCATAACAAAAAAACGGAATTCTTTATTATTTTCGGAAAAAAGTTTTGTTTAAATCAAATTACTGTTCAGAGTTCTTATCAAATAAACGAATATTCACACACATCATATCTTTATTTGGTGCAACTTGTCGAACAAATCGACATGATATTTGATCCTTATTAACATTAGGTAAGATTGTTTGTAATTGTATTTCAATATCTTTAATACGATCCTCAGCTCTTGAAAATGTATAACAATAAATATGAACCGGTACAATCCATTGTTCTTTTTCTTCACTATTTATTGATAACCATTCAGAAAAAACATCCAAAAATGTTAAAGCAAGTTGAGGTAAATTCATTATAACAGTTATTTTATTCTTCAATAAAGATCGATCTTTTTGATAGTTTTCAATATGTGGTAAAGTAATTGTTCGTAAAAATTCACGTCCATCAAGATTATATATGTAATATTCATTTGATGATTTTTTTGGTTGATTCTTTTTCAAATTAATTGTCATCCATTTAAAACATTCAGGATTAAGATCATTTGCATAAACTATACAACCACGCATAGATGCTGGAACAATAAATGGACCAACACCAGCAAATACATCAAAAACAAGATCATTTTTATGAAGAATATCAATAATACGTTCATGTTCTGTACCTAAATTAAATTTATTAATTAAAAACGAATAAAATATTTTTCACAAAAACATACTTAATCGTGGATTCCAATAAACTTTAGCAAAATCAAATTGAAATAGTGCTTTACTTTCTCGACATGTTACAATTGTATTTAA